CAACCCTCATGCAGATGTTATCTTGGAAGTCGGAAGAGGTGCCGAACAAGTCAGATGCGGAAACTCGACAGGTGATACTGGCCGTTTGAGAATGCCACTTACTCATCTGCTCTGTTAACTGTTACATCACATTGATAATTGCTGCATGGCGTCTTCTGATGACGGGGAAACTCGGGTTCTCCTTCATCCTCTGGTTCCTCTCCCCATAAATCCTAAGAATCCGCCTCGGTGTCGGATCTAGCAGTACCCCGGACAACCCCGGATCTATCGCATACCCACGAACCGAACACGCCGCAACTATCAAGTCAACAAACGAGGAAGACTATGTGCACCCTAGTGCTTCCCCCGCAGCAAAGATGAGGAGGAAGCGGGGGAAAAGACACCCTTGTCCCTGGTCGTCGTAGCGGCCCCCGCCTCCCCCCAAGTCAGAAACTCTTGTCTTTCCCCAGACAAATCCCCTCCGTTTTCCGTCGATTTGCGCTCAAGTTTCCTGTCCCATCTCTCTTCCTTCTTTTCCGACTTTCCATCCAGTCCCTCCCTCCTCGAGTCTCGAACCCTTTCCCGCCTCTGCCCCAAGGTAACCCGCCCATTCACTGTGCGCAACGCGCGGGCGTAACCGCGTGCGTGCGTTTTCGTCGCTCCACTGGGACACTGCGCATAAGCAGACAAATCAGAAAAGCCAAACGGCCAAGATAACAGGAAAAGGAGAGCAGAGGGAGTGGACCCTTGCAAAAGTCCGTCGACTCCATCCCGTTGCGTTTGCCTACCGGTCATGGACGCCCCGGAGTACCGCCGTCCTCTCCCCGGCCCGGGAAGTCCGGCTCCCGATGGCCGTCACTCCTCATCGGCCGTTTCAGCCGCCGCAGCTAGTAGTCCCCGTGGAGATTCACGGAAACGAAGCTTTAGCTCCGCCGCCGATCAGCACTCGCCTCTGTCCGATGAGCTGGCTGGCACTGGGTCCTCCTCCGCTGCCGCCGCGGCCGCAGCGAATCGCCGCAAATTGCAGAAAGTCAGCCGCGCGTGCGACTTTTGTAAGCAGCGCAAGGCGCGGTGCAGCGGGACTATCCCCTGCGACAAGTGTACCAGAAAGGGCCTCACGTGCGTCTACGATGCAAAGTACTCCCGCGGTCGACCCCCGACACCTCCGCCCTCAGCTGTGTGGTCTACAGGTTCCAATGCCGTATCCGGATCCGAGGAGCCGCCTGTTATGTACCGGACTACTGAAGATGGAGGCGGAGAACACGTCGCTGCACCGGCCGCGCCGTCGCGCTCGCTGAGGGGACATGTACGCGAGAGCCAGGGCCCGGCGTCGCGAGCCTCGCCCGAGCTTGGTATGGCTGAGATCCAGGGCCAGATTTTCGACCCGACGTCGGGTGTGACTTTCTTGCACAGGGCGTGGAAGCGGCTCTCGAAACACGAGAGTAACATCGTCCCGGACGAGCTCAACGCCTCGACCGACAGCCAGCCACTCATGCTGGCTGGTGATAAGCCGCTGCCCCCTGTTACTGACGAGGATGTGGCCAACTTGTCGCTTCCGGATTCCAGAGAGATTCAGGATTTGCTGGCACTGTACTTTGATGTTTCCATCGCGACTTACCGTGTGCTGCACCGCCCTTCCGTCGAGGCATGGCTAAAGACCATGATTAATAACCTCCGCCACGGAAAAGCCGTCTGGCAGGATATTGGTCGGGGCAAAGCGTCCATCGTCCTTACGGCACTTGCCATTGCCACCGCTCACAACGAAAAGTCCAAGGGATTTCACTCCCCAGAAGGCGAGGCTCTATCCCTGGCTCGTAGTGACCAACTCTTTTGCGTCGCACTGCAGCTTACAGAGCGTGAGACGGGGCTCCCTCGACTAGAGTCAGCTCAGTCGCGATTGATCCAAGTTCTGTACCTCCTGACCACGTCGCGTATGAACCGCGCCTGGTATACCTTTGGAAACGCGCTTCAGATCATATCTGCGCTGGGTATGCACAGAAAAGCGGCTAAGAAGCGGCACTTGACACCGGGCAACTCGGATTATATCCAGGCGCAGTGTCGTATGCGGACGTTCTGGACTAGCTACGTTTTGGACAAGTACCTGGGCGTTATATTCGGCCGTCCACGTCACTTCCATGACGATGACATTGACCAAGACTACCCGGATAGGATCGACGACGAGGATATGACTGCACAGGGACCCATTGAGAGATCGGAGGAACATTCAGACTGTCACATTGACGCGCTGATATTCCATGCCAAGTAAGTCAGCCCCATGTCTGATCACACTCTCTGCGTACAAGTACTGACATTTGACAGGATTGCGCAAATCATCGGAAACACATCAAGAGAAGTCTACTCTATAAAAGCAATCTCCGAACAAGAACGCGTCGCCGCCGCACACCGCCTCAGCAAGAAGATCCACGAATGGCGCGCCAGTCTCCCGCCTCACCTCGGTTCGATCCGCCCCTCCATGCTGATCCCAAGCTTCCGTCGCCAAGCAACGGTACTCAAACTGGCCTACTCCCACGCCATCATGCACGCGAACCGCCTCTTTCTCCTGGGTAACTTGAGTTCCGGCAGCGAGACACAGATCCTAGAGTGTATTGGCGCAGCGAGGACGGTGCTCGAGACAGTAGATGGCATGGCCGCCGAGGGGCCCATCTTCCACGCCTTTTGGTGGACGCAGTACGTCACGTTTTGCGCCCTGCTGGTCACGTATGTATGGGATATCCAGCAGAAGAGGCGAGGCATCACGCTTGAGGGTGAGGGAAAGGCAAAGCATACGAAGCTCATGGATCTGGCTGAGCGATGCCAGACGCATCTTGCGCACGCCACGGCGTCCAATTCACCCAGCCGCCGGTACGCCATCATCCTGGAAGAGTTCAGGACAGAGGGTCTCGGCCAGATGTCACGGCAAACTCAGGTGGCTTCACAGGCACCCCGGACTTCTGCTCCTCGGGTGGCTGCGCTGTCTGCAGATATGCATGTGCCGCCTCTGCAGGCGAATGGGGGGAACGGAGGAGCGTCGATCACGACCGACGGATTCGACTTCAACCATGGGTATGGTACCGAGTCTGGCCCCGTTGATCTGATGGACCAGGGCGACGCAGGGTTCCTTGGATCCAACTTGCTCGATGAGTGGCAGACGACCGATTGGCTAGACCTCGACTCTTCTGCTTTCGGCCCATACCTGGACATCGACTCAAATCCGTTGGCTTGGATGCCGGATATAGGAGGTTAGGGGTCAGGACTCAAATACAGTCTATAATATTTGCATTGATCTATGTCTTCTAAATGGTGAACTTTGTCAAGTTCTCAGGACCCGTTTCCTGGGCTACTCTCTTGACTTCCTCCTCTCCCAGCTCTTGGAAGATATCGAAACCCCATCTCGTTTGCCAGTTGAATCTCTTGTTCCTCTCGAGCCCGTTCAACTGCGCAAAGGCATCCGCCGGCAACTCCTGCACCTTGAAGTTGGACTCTATCCGGCTAGGGGTAACACTCTTGGGCAGAACGACAGTGCCGCGCTGCACACCCCACGAAGCAAGCAACTGGCCGCCGTCAATGCCGAGCTTCTTGCCCAGCTCACCCACAAGAGGGTCGTCCACCGTTCTCGGCTCACCCGTCTGGTTGTTGCCCAGAGGCGAGTAGGCGGCCAGCTGGATGCCCTTTGACTTGCAGAACTCGAGCAGATCCGGCTGTTGGAGGTACGGATGCGCCTCAATCTGGTTGACGGCGGGAACCGTCTTGGTCTTTGTCAGAAGATCCTCGATGCGCTGCTTAGTGAAGTTGGAGACACCGATGGCGCGGACTTTGCCGCTTTGGACCAGCTTCTCCATGGCTGCCCACGTTTCCGCGGGGTCAATGTCGGCCAGCTCGAAGACGCCGTTGGAGTCAATGGGAAACCATTTATCCGACGGCTTGAATGCTCTACAAATGAGGTCAGTACATGCTCTATTGTGTATCTCTTGCATAACAACAGGCACAGATGAACAAAGAATGAGACTTACACTGGCCAGTGCATCAGGAACAAATCGAGGTAATCCGTCCCCAAGTCCTTGAGCGTCTTGTCAACACCGGACTCGACATCTTCGGGTGCGTGCTTGGTGTTCCACAGCTTCCCTGTAACAAAGATCTCTGAACGAGGCACGCCGCTCTTGCGAATGCCCTCACCAACTTCCGCCTCATTGCGGTAGATGGCGGCGCAGTCGATGTGGCGGTAGCCGGAGCGCAGAGCAGTCTCAACAGCACGCTCAACCTCATGAGGTCCGGCTTGCCAGGTGCCGAATCCCACTGCTGGGATCTTTGCACCAGTGTTGAGTGTGAAGTGTGTTGCGAGAGGCATCTTGAGAGAGTTTCTTGGTGTATGTGCAAGGATCAATGGCGTTTATCCGTGGCTGGTATGGACGCAGTTGTTGAACTCTACACAAATCAAGCTGTAATTATATAATAATGTGCCCAAAACAGGTCGCTTGATGGAAAAGATCAAGCAGATAATAAATCGCTTTCAGCCACTCTGCCATCGACACTGCGATCAAGACATGTGGCTCCCAACGACTCCATCACCACCGAGTCCGCAGTTGTGATTCAGACTGGCGGATTCTTTTCCTTGGAGCTAGTCACACCCTTGTTGAATCCGTCCAAACCCGTCGGCGGAGCCCTCAAAATCCGTCACCTAACCCCAGCAATGAGCGGGGAAACGGATTCATGCCTCCCCCACCAACGGAGACCCTCCTCCAGGTTTCTGTCCCGCCTCGATCGCCACAAGCGTGGCCCACTCGGAAGAGCGTCAGGCAGGGTATCAGCATGGCGGATGTTGAGGAATTCACTTCATCGGCGTCGGAACAATGACGGTCTTGCCTGGGCCGCGGAGCCGTTCTCCATCTCTCAAAAGGGTGGCACATGAACCACTCATCAAGCCATCCGCAACCTCAAAAGCAGGGTGGTCATCGACTCATCATCAAGAATCCGAAGAACACTCATCGTCGACCTTGGATGAACCACCTGCAACATCGTCCACCATGAGTCCCCCCTCAGTATACGGTCCCACGAGCGCGGCGCTCCCGAGCTCCAGCTTGGACGCGAATCCCATCATTGACGCTGCTACCGTGCAGGATTTGGACAATGACGATTCAACTCTCAAGACTGTGGACGAGCTGGTCCGCCGGCGCGCCCGGTCGAAACCTGACCAAGTCATTGTGTCTTACCCTTCTTCGGGTATCACATATGTCGACTACACGATGAGGCAGCTCGACGTTTTTGCCTACCGTGTTGCAAAGTTCTATGAGCAGCGCATCCCTAGCCGTCCCAACTCAGATGAGAAGCCCACGACAGTGGCTGTTCTTGGCCCCTCCAACTTTGACTACCTCGTCACCATGCTGGCCTTGACCAAGCTTGGACACACGACGCTCTTCTTGTCAACAAGAATCTCACAGGAGGCCATCGAGTCTCTCATCAGCGTTACAGGTGCCAAGTTCCTGTTGGCTGACAAGAGGTACCTCGAGACGGCCGAGGGAGCCAAGCAGACTCTGCCTCATCTTGATGTCTTTGAGATTGCCGGCCAGTCAACGTTTGACTTCCCCATCGAAGTCCATGCTGATACCCGTCTGGATTATGGTCGTGATCTCTCAGTTGAGACCAACAACCTGATCTACATCATTCACTCTAGTGGTGAGTTGCATTCCATGTATTGCCTCTTGAGCAGCACTGACCTTCATAGGCTCGACTGGCTTGCCCAAGCCCATTTACCAGACTCAAAAGTCGGCCATCCACAACTACTCCAGCAGCATGAACATGAAGGCCTTCATCACACTACCCCTGTACCACAACCACGGTATCTGCAATCTGTACCGCGCCATCTACTGCGGAAAGCCCATCCACCTGTACAACGCGGATCTCCCGTTGACCAGAGAGCACCTCACAAGCATCATGCGCAAGCACAACTTTGAAATCTTCTACGGCGTGCCCTACGCGCTCAAGCTCCTCGCAGAGACAGACGAGGGCATGGACCTGCTCCGCCAGCTTAAGATCGTCATGTACGGCGGCTCCGCTTGCCCCGACGACCTCGGCGACACCCTCGTCAACAACGGCGTCAACCTCGTCGGCCACTACGGCGCAACTGAGGTCGGTCAGCTCATGACGTCTTTCCGCCCTCCCAACGACAAGGTCTGGAACTATGTTCGCGAGCATGAGAAGCTCGCGCCGTACCTCAAGTGGATTCCTCGCGGTCCGAACCTGTTTGAGTGCTGCGTCCTGCCCGGCTGGCCTGCCAAGGTAGCCACGAATCAGGAGGATGGATCGTACTGCACAAAGGATCTGTTTGAGCCTCACCCGACGATCCCCAAGGCGTGGAAGTACATTGCCAGACTTGACGACACCATTGCACTCGTCAACGGCGAGAAGTTCAACCCCGTCCACATGGAGGGCACGATCCGCTCCAACAAGAACATCACAGAGTGCGTCATCTTCGGCGTCGGTCGCCCATCTCTTGGTGCCCTCGTCGTTCCAGCTGCGGCGCTGGCTGGCAAGAGCAATGATGAGATTCTTGAGATTGTTTGGCCCGTAGTCGAGAGCGCGAGCAAGTCCGTTGAGGCCTATGCCCGTGTCTCCAAGAACATGATCAAGCTTCTCCCTTACGACTGCGAGTATCCCAGAACCGACAAGGGCAGCGTCATTCGCCAGGCCTTCTACAAGCGGTACGCTAAGGATATTGACGAGGTCTACGACAATGCAGACGCGGCCAGCGGCGACTTGAAGAAGTTTAGCGTTCCTGAGTTGCAAGATTTCATCCGCCAGGGCCTCGTCCAGACTCTTTCAAAGAAGGTCCAGCTGGATGACGATACCGACTTCTTCTCACTTGGTCTCGACTCCCTGCAGGCTATCCAAATGCGTTCCGATATCCTGAGGACGGTTGACATTGGCGACAACAAGCTTGGCCAGACTGTTGTGTTTGATCATCCGTCGATCAACAAGTTGAGCGCTTACCTTTACAGTCTCGGTACTGGAGAGGGCGTTCAGGCCGATGTTCCCATCGAAAGCGAGATGCAAGAGCTTATTGACAAGTACGGCAACTTTGGTCCCATCGAGTCGGCTCCTAGATCCTCAGTCGTAAGTTGATATCCCAAGCAACGTCCCTCTCGCACCTCTGTACTAACATCCCATAGGCCGTCACCGGCGCTACTGGTTCTCTCGGAGCGCATATTGTCACCAAGCTTGCCGCAGACCCGACCATCAAGACCATCTACTGCTTCACCCGTGCAAGCTCTGACGCCGACGCAGTCCGCCGCGTCAACAGGTCCCTCATCCAACGCAGGCTCTACCACGCGCTGCCCGCCTCCTCCCGCAGAAAGCTCGTCGCACTGTCCACTGACCTCGCCGATGCCAAGCTCGGTCTCTCCGACGAACTATACCGCCAGGTCAAGCAGGATCTCCGCCTCGTCATCCACGCCGCCTGGTCAGTCAACTTCAACATGCGCCTCTCAAGTTTCGCAAAGGGCAACATTGCTGGCGTCAACCACCTGATCGCCCTGTGCAAGGCCGCCGGCGACGTCGAGACCGGAGCATCTTCTCCTGCCTCGTTCAACTTCTGCTCTTCCGTTAGCACCGTCGCGCGCGCGACGACGACCCCCGTCCCCGAATCCGTCCCCGATCTCGAATGGGCTCAGGGTATGGGATACGCCCAGTCCAAGGTCGTCGCCGAGCACCTCTGCGCCAAGGCAACCAAGGCCGGAATCAAGTCCCGCGTCCTGCGCATCGGCCAGATCGTCGCAGACACCCAACACGGCGTCTGGAACGCAACGGAAGCCATTCCCCTCATGCTCCAAACGGCAATCACCGTCGGCGCCCTCCCCAAACTCCAAGAGACACCCTCCTGGCTGCCTGTAGACACCGTCGCGCAAGGCGTCATCGACATCTCCCTCTCTGACGCAGACGGCGTCTTCACTAACGTCGCGAACCCCAAGATGTTCAGCTGGACCAACGATCTCCTCCCTGCCCTCAAGGCCGCTGGCCTCGAGTTCGAAGAGGTCGAGCCCAAGGAGTGGATTCGTCGCCTGCGCGCCTCGAACCCGGACCCCGCCGCCAACCCGCCCATCAAGCTCGTCGACTTCTTCGCGTCAAAGTACGACAAGGACGAGTTCTCGCCGTCCAAGACGTACGTCACCGACAACGCCTGCTCTCTCTCACCCGCGCTCGCTCAGGCGCCCGTGTTGGATCAGAAGCTTGTCAACAACTTTGTCCGATACTTCAAGGCCAACCACTGGGTCAAGAAGAACGAGGGCTCAGCCAAGACGGTCGTTATGGTTGCGGGCCCTTGCGGCAGCGGAAAGTCTACCCTGGCTACCTCTCTGGCCTCCTCGCTCAAGGCACCCTTCATCGAGGGCGACTCTCTGCATTCCAAGGCATCGATCGAGAAGATGGGTAGCAATGTCGCCTTGACTGACGAGGATCGGTCTCTATGGCTTAGCCGCATTGGCAAGAGGGCGTCTGAAGCCCTCGGAGATCTGGGCTACGACTCTGTCGTTGTCAGCTGCTCGGCTCTGAGGAAGTCGTACCGCGATACCCTGCGAAGCGTCTTTGCAGAGCAGGAGGGCGTCGAGGTTGTCTTCCTGGACCTCCAGGCCAGTCCTGAGACGCTTGTGCAAAGGATGAATCAGCGCAAGGGTCACTACATGCTGGCGAGCATGGTAGAGGGACAGGTTGAGGTGTATGAGGCTGCGGGTGTCGCGGAGTTGGATGTCCTCCCCATCGAGGCTGAGGGCACGCCGGAAGAAGTGTTTGAAGAGGCCAAGTGGTTGCTTGAACAGATTGGACTGAACTGAATTATTGCTAGATAAAGCATTATAAGGGCATATTATTGGCGTTAAGGATAATGGGTGCTAGGGTACATGTAGTCATGAGAATTTCTTTATGCGTTTGAGTAACAAATTTGGTATAACCTCAGATTTCCCTCTGTCGCATCTGGTTGCCCTTTCCTTGTCTTAAATCGTGATGTTGAATCAGTCAATCGTAAGCACATCATCTAATTTCTTGCTACAGCATAATCGCCATCCTCCTCGATCCCGGTGCATGACCACTCTCGAGTTGTCGTTCCTGTCTTCTGAACCGTTGACGGTGTATGTGAAATATGCTGATGCGCCGATACACGAATGAATCTTTTCGTTTAATCTCCCATGCGACGTGTTCCAAAGTAATTGCCCTTTGCCGATGGAGGGGCAATCTGAGCAGCCCATCCCCGTGGGGCAGATCCAGTGTCGAAGTTGCGTACAGTGATGACAGAGGTACAGCTCTTGACTGCTTATGTCCTTGAGAATGAGGAAGAGGAAGTTGTTGAGTCTCTTGTCGCTTGTCCTTAGTTTTGGAAGGGTCGTCTGAGACAGGAGGCCGTAAAGAGATTTGCAGGTAAGGGCCAGACACATGGCGGACTCCGTGGGGAGGTGGGAGGCTATTTCGAACATGATGTCGGGTATTTGACGAAGAAGAATCGGTAGATCTGCCAAGCACACTTTCTTCATGCCTGAGAGCGTTTCTATTGGCGTGATGTCCGACATCGTGATGACACCTGTGCAGGCTGCTGAAAAGGTCACGATGAGGAGTGGTCACCCTTGCTCGTGCCGGAATACGAGGTCGTGGGGATGACCGTTATGAGCCTTCAGGCACGGCCGTTGAAGGAGCCGACTTCTGGAACGGTTGGGTCTGTGTTCTTTGTCGATGATGGCGTGTCATGATCAAATGCTTTGACTCGAACAGCGGCTGGGACTAGGCCAGAACGCACTTAGAGTGTCAAAGTTTTGCGGCTACCATCTCTTCGGGATAAGACACAAAGGCCATCGGAAATTAACAGTCTAATCGCAATCGTGACTAGAGATCTTTCTAGGACGCGTTCTGAAGGCACAAGTCGCGGCGCTTTCTAGACACGTGAGACGTATCTGTCCTCCCATCACCATCATCATATTCTAGTTTCGGGGGCCTCCATTTCTTCCATTCTACTACCGATGTCACCTCAAAAATTGGTTGTCTTCTCTCACACAGATCGCTCTTATTTTTTTGAACATCTTGTAGTCATTTTGAGGTCACAACACCGGAGAATGAATTGCAGCATCCGCGTTTGAGATTTGTGTCCAGGTGCAATCGCCAAATGGTCTTAACCTCGAACATAATTTGAATTCTTTGTTAACTATCCTGAGAAGCCTGAATTCCTCTCATGGAACCGTAGACTGATCTAAGGAGAAGGGTGCGCAGTCTCCGATGGATCGGAAGTCCCGGATATCATAGTTCGGGAGATTATAACCATACAACAGGAACCCGCTTGAGAGAGTATCACTAATCTTTATTTCAACCGCCAAGAGGTTTGAGGGTTGTCTGGCGTAATAGTCAATCTAATTTTAAAGGGTAGTGGTCACCGCCATAGATTTGATGCTACAAGTGAAGGTTGTCAGAAAAAGTGGCAACGGAAACAAAATAGCTCCGACTCTTCCAAAGTCATAATACATCCGAGGCGGCTTAAGGACACTCGATATTTGGCCAAGACTCGGAAGCAGATTGAAGGACTGAAATTTCTGCAAACGTAGATTGATGTTTTATAAAATCAGGAGCGCCGTATCTCCAAGACTGGAGCATTTGGTGCATCGAAGGAAAGTTCACCAAAGTCTTTTGCTCTCCTACCATCACCAGACGTACCGACACCGTCATGTTTAGTGAGATCATCACCGCCGTCGCTCTATCAGGAGTGTTCGGAAAAGGTGCCGCGTCATGCACTTGCGACCTGAAAGTCGAAAGCTATATCAGCCCAGGGTTCTCGTTGGATGTTGTGTCGTCTCTGATCATCGGCTCTCAAGCCGCTGCGATCATCGACTTGCCTCTTGCAGTTGCCGACGCGGGAACTCTGGCTCAATGGGTTAAGAACACAACTGGCAAGCCTCTCTTGGCGGCTTTCACAACGCATAATCACCCCGATCACTATCTGAGCGGCAAAGCATTCCTTCAGCACTTCCCCGAGGCCAAGCACTACGCCACGCCAGAGACGGTGCAGGGGATCCAGAACGAGGCTATCAACAAAGTGAGAATTCCTGTTGACGTTTTGAGAAGGAATGGTAATAACAAATTTCTAGACTGAATTCTGGTCTGCCGCTTATGGCCCCGGCATTATCGCCCCCGTTCCCGCGATTCCGACTGCCTACAACTTCTCCTTCTTCACCCTCCCAGGCGACGAAAAGTGCCCGATCGAAATACTCAAGAACATCGGCGGCGATACCATTGATCTATGTTCATTCTGGATTCCGTCTATAAAGACACTAATCGCAGGTGACGTCGTCTACGGCCACCAGATGCATGCCTGGCTCGCCGACCTTCTTACGCCCGCCCTCACAGAGTCTTGGCTCACGACCCTCAACTTCATCACGGGCCTCAGACCTAGTCTTGTCATACCGGGACACGCGCTAGCGTCCACTACCTTCAGTGCGCTCGCCGATGTCGATCATACAAGGGATTATGTTTCTTTTTTCCAGAAGAACATCGAAGCCAAGGGTCCCGACTTTTACACCCCGCGGGAAATTTCGAGCATGATGGAGGCTGCTTTCCCTGGCTTGACAAACTTGACGTCTTCAACTACTTCGGCTACCTTGCTCAACATCACGTCGGAGAACTTTGGTCGAGGTGGACAAAGACAAGTACACTACTTCGACTTAACTGTGTATAACGATACGGATGTCTTGGATGGATGGCGCTTGTGATAGTTCGTTAAAGTAGACGACGCCGAAAGAAATACCAGTTCTAAGCCTAATCCTACCGGATAAAAGGTGTTTTTAGAGTACTAGTACGATTATAGCTTTGACCTGCAACTAAAATTTCAACAAGACGTTCATAATCGTCTCAACCCGGTCCCTTCTTTCATGACTGATCTTTTTCATAAAGGAGGAACTAGTAGGGGTATGAGCCAATGGATGGTAGTCGGGACTGAAATTAGGCCGGATGACAAGGATGTATACATGTAGGTACACAAGTTGTATAGTCCTCTTCCCAGCAGGTTCAAATGGTTTCATTCGACTCCTACTGTTTCAAACCGGAAAAGCAAAACAACACATAAACATTGACCAGGGGAAAACCGAGTTGACCGACGAAAAATCCCCTAGTCTACAACACTTCTCGACATGAGCCACGTTCAGACCCGAACATTGTTCCAAACAAGATACAGGTACGCGCCACTTCTCTTATGATTGATATCTGTACTTATTCCGTCCCATCCAGCCGCGCGGGCATCATCGAGGGAAACAGAGTCGTTGGGAGATCTCCATAATTGTACTTCACTGATCCTCGTAGGCAAGTTCAAATCTCGTGAAGTGACCACATACCGGTAGTCGCCGCCAGCTCCTTGAGCCATGTCCCCTCCGAATGCCGGTTCGTCGTCGCCAGTGATCTCAATCCTTAATCCAGTGATGGCGCGGGATGGGTCGGCAGTAAAAGATTTTACGACGTAAGTATACTTTCCGCCGAAACTATTATTACAATCTGGGCTACCCAGATCTCCACTGTTGTCCACGCAAGTGCCAGTCGGGAAGAAATCCGAGTCATCAGACGCCTCAATTCTGAGAGCTGAGATGTATTTTTGCGGGGGAGGGGGGGAATTCGCAGGAATGGCGTTCCCGTGTACGTTGTTGTTGGTAGCCATAGCTAGTGTTACTTAAAATGGCCTTTGAAGTAAATTGACTGCTTGGAGATATTGCAGTGACTATGAGGGCGGATAGAGAAGATGATATATTAGATCAAGTGAAGGTCTCAGAACAAAAGTAGGTCGTGCTCCGCCCTTAAAAGGTGTTTGGGCAACCCTGTAGTCTTCGAACCCCTAAGTTACTCTCTTCTGTGAAGTCTCAGAACATGCTGCGGCGAGCTGAAAGAACGCTAGTCATAACCGCATTAACGCCGGTCTCCAAGAGTCTAGAACTGCTAGTGAGTGGTGGGCACGGACGTTCGGTACCAGACGAATCAGGTGTTTCGAAACAATCGAACTATTTAACTGTGAACCATTTGACTGTAAACGAGAGATTGATGCCGTTTTCAGAAGGGTCTGGACTATTGTCCCGTTGCTGTATGCTACCTGAATACTCTCAGCACATAGGTGGATGAAGAATGCCGCACAGGGGTTTCCGCTTGTGGAATAGCCAACTAAATGCATTTATGACCTCTCTTTACGGAGTAAGTCAACATACCCACTTCCTGGCACCCCCCTGTTTCTGGCACCCACAAAAACGCGAAAATCCACCACAACCCAATGCCCACCCCCAACCTCCTTTTATCACAACATTTTCAATTCGCGTCCAAATGGGCTCATCTTTTGCACATGTCTTCTTCTATATATAATGCCTCAATATACCGAAGATCAGCTTCGTCAGGCTCTCGAGGA